TGTAATGCATTCAGAATATGGTCTCATAATCAATTATTTGACATGCTTAAAAATATATTCCGAATTTAGATTAATATCCAAAAGAAAAACTGCAACAGCTTGAACGAGATGCATTCTTTGCATTAATCTCTGATGAGAGGAGAAGCGAATAAAAAAATGAGTGGTTCGATTTAATGAATATTTCAGTGATCATCCCACTGATTGAATCTTCAGTTTATACATTGAACGATGATAGTTTACAATTGACAGTTACAAGGCAACAATATTTCTGAAAGATGAACGAACCCACTTCGGGGACAAGACGTTTAAACACTTCACAGTGGTTAATTTATCCTCTCTCAAAAAACTCAATCCGCCAAACTTGTCGGATCAAAAACATTCACATAATTAATGCAAAAAAATGAAGAGATTTGCAAGAATTGCAAGGTTGCAACTGGTCACTGAGTAAAATTACAATAATACACTATCGTATCATTTCAGAATGTCCCATTCCTACCATTTCGCAATCTTCAAGTCCATTTTTATGCCTAAGCCCAGGCTCCTTCTAAAGTTCAGGGCTTGTTCTTCCCAGAGANCAACTGTTCACATTATTTCGACGTACAAAATCGGAATCTCACCGCAAACCTCGCCAACGTATCGGCTAACTTATCAGGTGAATCTTCCTGCACAGCATGTCCTACTTTTGGCAGAATCGTATTTTGGAATTTGCCTTGCATTTGCCCAACCTAAAACTGATTCCGTATCAGATTCGTTATTGTTGTACATAAGAGGTAATATTCGTGATTACCAACTCAAAACATCACTTTTCAAAGTGCGCTGCTCCAATGCTATCAGTGCTCAAAGGAACACTATCTTAATATTGTAATTCCACGAAAACAACCATTGTTCCTAAGTTGATAAAAAGCATGTTAACAACAAGTAACGCAAAACTGATAACAATGACAAACCGTGAGATCAGTATCAAGTCGATCAACACCAGCCAGTATCAAGATTTTTGGTGGAGAACATTCCAAGAACATTTTCGATAAGCCTTTGAACCAACCAACCCAATACGGTTGAGTCTTATGCAGATCTGTTCTCCATTTAAATCCACGCTTAAATATTCAATTTTACATACACTTAATTCAAGCCTTCATCATTTCACTCATTCATGTCAATGCTCAAAAGAACACATGAAATGATGAGTGCTTGAAAGTATATTCCAGTGGACGTTTGGTGAACTGAATGAAGTTGCGATATAAAACGTAATAATTTAACATCAAATAGAGTTGACAATAAATTGAAGTGATATTCAAACACCATTACGTACACCACTATCATCTTGTGTGATTTGTGACGGCATTGAAATACGAGCTGCACGCATATTTCTCGCCATTCCCATTTCAATACACCATTTTATTGCACCTGAAAATATATTCGATGAATTATTGCATGAATATAAGATACTGGATATGTGATTATCGTAAATTAGCGGCCAATCAAGTGTCGAACCAATTTCACTCAAACTTTCAGGTCAAATAAATTAGCTGCGATATTACTGTGCAATTTACAAAATGTCATCGAGAACGTCATCGAGAAGGTGGCAAATCTACTAATAACACATCGTCTTCTGTTAACACTAATTCTTTGATAAATTCTATGAAATGAAATTATTCGCAAGCGATGTTATGAAAACAATTGAGAACATTCACCATCAGAAATAAGTAACTGAACATCTATCCCATGCATATGAACTGCTAGGGGTAGAACTCAATGCAAACAACTGAATAACGCGACCTTCGACAGAAGCGAAATGTTTCGGACGACTATTGATGACCACACCCATGACACTCAACGATTCCATCGCACTCCCCTCCACCACATCAATAACACCTAAACCGACCACTGCATCCATACGATTACTGTGCACTGCATGAACTGCCAACGCACCACCCATACTTAAGGTAATACAATTACTCACTTACATTTATTCAATTGCCACTTTACTGCTTAACGCACCGCTTTAATATCATTCAATGAATTGTTAAATTCACTTTTTAGGCGAAAAACTAAATCAGCAGATTGCAATATATGAAGGGAATTGAATTTCAGAAACGGCGATCTGTTGTAAGATGAAACGAATGAACATTGAAACCTAGATATTTACAGAGCAATATTACTTTTTCAGTGATTCATCACAGGCAGCACGGGAATATTATTAGAGTGATATCTTAATTTAAAAAAATATAAAACCTCCCGAAAACTGACCTGTGACCGATAACGAATGTAGGAGT